TTTTGGTAGACTATTTATGACTCACGGCACGTAGACATTGACCGACACTATAATTTTTAACTATTTTTCATTATTTTTTCCCTTACATTTTTGGTAATTTAGTGTTTTTTCTCTTTTAATAAATATCATTTGGGTTATTAATAAGTTAACGGTGTCTGTGCGTTCACGTTTATAATATTTGAGGAAAACAATTAAAATATTACTCGATGCAATACTATCTAATATCGTGTAGATAATATGCGAAAATAATATAAAATATTGTTGCACTCAAAATAACAAAATTTAGATATTAAAAAAAAACAATTTGGATTTTTTTTAGTGTGTGTCAATTGCATATTTATAGATAGATTTAAAATGTTTTTGTTTAATTAATTTTGCTCTTTCCTACTTAGTTCTTTTTAAACAATTTACTAGTATTATTACTTAAAGACGCACAAGTATGGGAGTTACAATAAATTTATATAGATCAAATCGTTCGGTTTGACTAGAAAAAATGATGAACTTCTCGACATTCCCATTAGTGTTAATAGAAATAGTAAAAAATTCAAGAAAATCCCATATAGCTAGAAAATTATGGAGTTACAATAGGATTATATAAATAAATTTTAGAGTTAATGATAATAAATGTTGGAATTTCAAGATAAACACGAAATGAAAATATTATACGTCTTTTTCGAAATCTATGCTATTTGCAAGACCAGTTTTTTAGGGGATTTTAAGGAAAATGAGTGTCGACTTTTGAGTGAGATAAATAGTTCAAAACGAGAAGAAAAGACATTCCAACAAGTAACGAGTTGGCCATGTTAGCTTGGTTAAGACCATGTCTGCAGACTATTTAAGTGTGGTTGTTGAGTCCATGATCCACTTTGAGAACTAACAAACAAATGTTTGTATTTCATTATTAAAAAAACTAAAAATTTCTATTAAAATAATTCGACCCGGTTTAATATATATTGACATAGTTCAATTGTGTGGACTTTCTATGTAATGCAACAACTTACATTATCCTGATTGCGATCAAGTTAAAAATGCCATAAGAAAATGAATTCATCGAAGTCAAGTTCAATTGGACTACTCGACTAAGGTTGAATTTGCGTGAACAATATTTAAACATTGAAACAAATTCATATTAATTTGAGGGGGTTTGGACGTTGGTAGTGTGGATTATCAGTGCTCTAAGTTGATAGCTTGGAAACAATGTTATCCATAGTATCGAGGATTGATGAAAAAAATTATCCTTCTTCACTACAACAAAATGTACTTTTTACGGCATGCATTGCATGTCGTAAAAACCTCTTTACGGCATGCGGGCCATGCCGTAAAAAGTTTTTTACGGCATGCAAAGTACGCCGTCAATGCACGCCGTAAATAAGTTTTACGGCATTCCATTGTTACTTCGTCTTTCGTAGGATATCCTGATAAGTTCCCATAATCTGAAAAATTATTAATTGTCCACATCAGCACAGCGTTCAAATTGAAGATGGACTTGGTGAATCCATCATATACTTCAAAACCAATATTCCACATCTCCTTTTAAGTCTTCTATTAGTGATTCTAGATATACATCTATATCATTTTCAGGTTGCTTTGGACCTGGGATCAA